AAAAAAAAAAAAAAAAAAAAAAAAAAAAAAAAAAAAAAAAAAACAAAGAAAAAAAGAAAAAAGCGAGGGGGGGGGGGGGGGGGGGGGCGGGGAGAGCACACGGGGAGAAGGAGGGAGGGGAAATATCAGATCAGACCATACAACGATCAGTCCTGGCCCTTAGCCACTCCTGGTACAGGCAGACACACACACACACATACACAGAGCCCAGGAGCTTCTGTTGCTCTGCTCAAGCAGGGATCAGTCAGAGCCAAGTGTGGAGGGATTCAAGCAGATGCAGAGACTGAGCCCCTTCCCTCAACCCTGACCTTCAAGCCCACAATGTCCCCACTGCCCATCCACAGAGGCTCCCTCCCCAGGGCCTGGACATCCGGGCCCAGCACAGGCTGTGAGAAAGCAGAAGTCGGTTGGAAGAGAACACCTCCAGACCAACCCTGCCCATCCCTGGTAAGAGAAGGAAGGGGCAGGAAGCAAGTGGGCAAAAGTGCAGTCCTTCTGTCCATCCATGGTCACACAATTGCCCGGAACAGGAAGGAGAAGACAGCCCCTAGTGCTAGGCCCAGACACAGAAAGAAGGCCATGATGGCTCCCGCTGTCTCCGCCTCGACTGGCTTTACTTTCCTAGAAGAGAGAGGGCAAGGCTACCTTAGGACGGCCCCTGCCCCTGCCCTAGCATGTGGGGTGGAAAGAGGGTTGGGTGCGGAGACTTGCCTGAGAACCTAATTCTGCTGACCAACCCATCCTACTTTCCTAAGCTCAACCTGGCTTTTTCCCCTCTTGGGGAATAGTGTACATGGGCTGCCTTCTACCCTCCCCACAGAGCTCCCTCCCCCATCTCTGCCTAAGTTAGCCTGGGCACCCCACCCCCACTACCTGTCACTATTCCCTCAGCCTAGGTGCCCTCCCCTTTCAGCTCTAGGACCAGGGAATCTCTTGCCCTCTCCTTCTACTGAGTATCCCCCACTGGACCTCTAGACCATGCCCAATGCCACCAGGTTCGCTCCCAGGCCCCACTCACTTGGGCCCGAAGCACATGCAGAGGCTGGCGAGATAGCCGTTGGAGAAGGCGAAGGCAGCCACGAAGACAATGAACCAGGCATCGTGCTTAAAAACCACAGGCAGGTACTGGCGGGGCTGGACGTTGCACAGCAGCAGCAGGGGCAGAAACACCAGGCGGGCCAGCACAAGGCCCGGCAGCCAGCGACTGTCCTTCCCAGGCTGCAGGTACCAGGTTCCTTAGCCCAGGCCAGCCCCCAGGCTGCAGCCAGACCCCCATTTAGGGCCCCCTGGAACCTGGATTGAAACCTTAAGGCCTGGTTACCTTTAGAAGGGCAATGATTGGGGGGTATACAGTGGAGCCTTGTGAAATGCTGAAAATGTCCTATGTCGTGATCTTGTGTGCTATGTGTATATTCATTAATTTGTACACTTAAGACTCGTACACCTAAGTGTACATAAATTATGTCTCAATTTTTTAAAAAAATCGTCCCCTTACCACCATACCTTCTTCGGTTCCCTTTCATCTCAGGCTAGACTCTTCCCTCCCACATGGGCCTGATGCCCCCTTCTTCCACTCACCCACATGAACACAGCTGTGAGGATCCGGCCTAGCAAGTCAAAGACATTGAAATTCAAGAAACAGGACACAGGAATGAAGTAGCGTTCTGGAAGAGGAGATTAGAGGATGGTTATCAGGTTCAGAGAGGCAGACATAGCAACCCTGACCCTCACTGGGTTTCAGCTTCCCCATCTGTAAAATGGAGAAGATACTTACAGCCCAGGGAAAGGCAAATGGACCCAGGAGAGTCCAGCTGGGGAGAAGGCAAGCCAGACTCCCTGATTCTCCCACTCCCAGTCCTGCTGTGCCCCATCCTGGGAACCCATGGCACCCTCACCCCAGGTGCTATTGCCCGCAATGCTCGACTTGACTTCAACGGTCACAGCAGGAAATAGCCCAATGGTGATCGTGAAGATGAAGCAGACAGACAAAGCCAGGACTGAGATCTGCAGAGAAGGGGAGGGGGATTCAGGTCACTGTGTCTCCACAGTGGCTGGGCATTAAAGAACCAACAATCTCCACCACACACACACAAGAATCCAGGAGAGTGACCAGTCTCAGGGAGATGGGTGGCAGGGGGAGGGTACAGCCCACCCTACATACATTTTTGAGGATGGTTTTGATGGAGTGGCTTTTGTTGGTGGGCTGAGAGTTGGGGGCTGAAACTCTGGACTCCTCATTGCCTGCTCTTGGATGCTCTTCTGGGGAGCGAGAGGTTGTAGAAGGATCTTCAAGTTGTGAGGTCAGAGCCAACAGGAGATGACACAAACATTCCCCAAAAGGGCTGGGGTTAGTTGGAGGTGGACACCCCCCTTAACCAGTCCACAGCCACACCCTAACACCAAGCCCCACCCTCCCCTCCAAATGCCCCTCATCAAGTCCCCTGGGGCCTGATCTCTCCCAGAAGCCTCAGGTCATGCTTTTCCCTGCACAAGAATCTGAAATTGCTTCCCACCAACTTCAGTAGAAACACTTCGGGTGTTCAAGGTCATCCAGGGTCTCCCCCCATTTTATCTTTCCCAGACCTTATTCCCTGCTGGCCCTCTCCAGCTAACAGCATGCTCATTCTGTCCTCTTTGCCATGCTGCCCCCTGCCTGGCAGGCCATCCTGCACCTTAGCTTCCTCAGGCTATTCAGACCTTTACTGATGAGGTCCAACTTGGTCTCCTGCTCCCCAGGCCCTTCGAGCTTGAGCTGCTGGTAGTAGCGGTAGAATTCCTATCAAGTAAAGGAGACAGGGGAGGTGGATTCAGAGGCAGACTATCCAGAACTCCCACCTCCCCTGGGTTTCACTCTCAGAACCCCTCTGGGACCCATGCCCCAAACCTCAGCTTCCTCCATTTGCTCACCAGCCGAGGCAGGCCCAAGTAACAGATGATGGTCAAAATGATAACAGCGCAGGCTGTGATGAAGTAGCCAAAGGCACTTTCTGACAGCCCCGAGCCACCTGGGGTGGAGAGTGTCAGTGATCAGAGGCAGGCCCCATCCTTTCTCCCTGCAACAAGGGCACTAGGCAGGTGGACAGCAGGACTTACTGGCAATGGCGCAGATCATGGCCATCGAGGCGAAGAAGCCTGCCAGGCCCTGGCCACTCATGATGGGGGCTGTGTAGCTGGCGGGCAGGAGGCCAGCCAGACCGAACAGGCTGCCCTGCAGGATGGCACCGAATGCTGGGGAACAAAGTGGGCGTCAGCAGGGTAGCTGGGGCGGGGGGGGGGGGGGGTCCATGGGAAAACAGGCCCCTGTAATTCCTGCCTTATTCACAGTCTTGACACTGTCTCTCTGCCCTCACTCCTGACCCTGGTCCTGGCCTGCTCAGGCCTTGGAATCCCAACTGCCCATGGCATCCATTCCCTTCCGGGGAAGGGATGGGCTCCTCTCTGGCTGAGGGTGGGTCTGAAAGAAGGGTGGGGTAGGTGGAAGGTCCCAGCCCACAGGCCTCCTCCCAACCCCACTTACAATTAATGAGCGTGATCTTGAGCATGGTGATGATGAAGAAGGGCAGAGCATCCAGCTGCACCTTCACTAAGATGGCAGTCGTCAGGAATACCAGCAGGATGGCCACGAGGCTGCCCAGGATCCGTACAGACTGGGGGATCCTGCCGGGAAAGGCCCAGGGTAGCAGAGAAGGGTGGGCAAGCATCACCTTCCTGGGCTCAGCACAGGGGGTGCCGGAGGCAGTGAGGGTCATGGGGACCAGGCTAGGCCAGCTGGGGAGAGGTGGGCATTCACCTCTGATGCAGGAAGGAGTTGAGGCAGGTGAAGAACAGCAGGGGCAGCATGGCACATAAGGTCATGACATTGTTGAAGATGGCACTGAGAGAATTCCACTTTCGCAAGGGGACTGTGGGGGCAGCTGAGGCCTGGATGTCCTTACTCACTTCAGCAGTGACCAAGGACATATTCTGGGACATGTCCAGGCGGTTTGTGAAATACTGTGGGGGTTGCAGAGAGGAGTGTTGAAATCTCTATCCCTGGGCCCACAGGTACAGAGCCAGGACCTGCATGCCCAGTGGATGTGCCCCCGGGAGCCCAGTCCCCCCAGCCTCACCTGAGTGGCTGTCATGAAAAAATTCCAGGGGAGCAGCGTACCCAGACCCAGCATGAAGAAGATAAGCCAGACAGCTTTGTATCTGGAATGGGGGAAGAAAGAGGGGCCAAATGACCCATCATCCCAACCCCCTTTCCAGAGATCAACCCTGGGGAAGCACTCCCTCCCTACCCTTCAGTCTCTCCAGCTGTCCCAGGGCACCAGGCATCTGTTTCTGTCCATGTGCATGTGTGCTCCCATGGCTGTATTGGTGGGGGAGGGGGGTGTCCTGGGATAGGGGAAAGGGCACATGACGAGTCGAGGGGGAAGGAGGTCAGGGACGCAGGACTGAACGGCATGGTTGACAGGACCTTGGTTCTCAGCTCTGGATGACTCGGGGGACCCTGCAGGCTGGGAACCAGTGTGACCCGCACATCTGGAGATAGTTCTGGAAATCTTGCTGAAAGGTTGGGTGTGGGCGGGTGAGTGAGAAAGTAAACAGCAAGTGTCTTCCACTCCCTCCAGGCAGGCTGGAAGTGATTATGCCTCTGGGCAGGGACCCTGTGTTTCCCCCGAAGAGGATTCTGAGGTCAAGAAAGTCCCAGACAATTCCCCGACTTAATGGGGAAGGCAGGCGGGTGAGGTGCCTGAATGCAACTGGGAAGTGAGGGAAATAGAGTTGTTTTTTTCCTGGCCCAGACAGAACTGGCTTTGTAGGTCACACCTCCTAGGGTAGACCAGGAGGTGTCGAGTCACTGGAACACAATCTGGGCCCCAGAGTGTAACTATGGGCTGCCCAGCTTTGGCCAGGGTGATGCCACAGTTCCTACACACCTCAAGGCCTGTCTGAGACAGGTAGGCCTTGCCTACAGCTTAGTAACCCCAGCCCCTTCCACTGAGATCTCCAGCTGCATCTGCCATGCTGTCCCCACAACCAACCTAGCTTTCTCCAGAGATGGCAGGAAAGAAGCCCAAGGCAGTAGCAAGGCAGGTCTGGTCAGAATGCAGGGCATGGACCATGAGCAGGTCTCCCTCACACAGGGAGGGCCTGGGGTAGCACCCCAAGTGGGCAGGACTGAGTGCTTACAACTGCAGACCCCTACCTCTCTCATATACTCCCCCTGGAATAGAGAACCTAAAGCTTGGTTCAGAGGCCTGGAATGAAGGGGAAACCTCCCAGCCAAGGTCACACAGGACAGAGGGTCAGAGGTAGGGCTGGGAAACGAGGAAGGAGTGCAACAAGGTAGATGGAGATGGGCGAGGGCTGGGGACTGCCACAGCACAGGTGAGGCTGGGGGTGGGGGAGTGCCAGCAGGTAGCCTGGGAATGGAGGAGAATAGGCAGGGAACCACCTGGGCCTGAACTTACTATGCCTCCTTCAATTCACCCCCCCCCCCCGCCAAAAAAAA